AAAGCCGGGAAGGCGCAGTAAGACAGGCAGATGTGCATGTCCATCCTCCCGGATCGAATGAGCGCCGGATCGAGCTGGTCGATGTGGTTCGTTGTAAAGATTAAGATCCTCTCGCTTCCGGTGGAAGACCACAAGCCATCGGTGAAGTTGAGAAGCCCAGACAGCGTAACTTTGCTCTTCTTCTCGTCTTCTTCATCATCATCGTCGTCATCATCATCGCTCTCGCCACCATCTTTCTTCTTTTTCTTCTCGCCCTCCTCCCCGGGACGCTTCTTGAGATCCAGCGAGCAGTCGATGTCCTCGATCACCACGATCGCCTTGTTGCTGATGGCGGTGAGGTACTTCCTCAGATTCGAGTTGTTCTTCACGTCAGTGAGCTCCAGATCGTAGATGTCATACCCGGTGAAGTGAGCTATGGCGGCGATGAGCGACGACTTCCCAGTTCCTGGCGGCCCATGGAGAAGATACCCTCGCTTCCACGCCCTTCCAATCTTCCGGAAGTAGGCCTCGCCGCCCATAAAGCCGCGGAGATCGTCCATGATCTGCTGCTTGAGCTCAGGGTCCATAGCCATGCTCTCGAAAGTTGCAGGATGATCGAATGGAACCGACATCCACGGCCGCTTCCGGTACTCCCAGCCGCTAAAGTTCGTGAAGAGCTTCCTCTTGCGGTTCCTGTGCTGGACCTCCTCGGCGTTCTTGACGACGTGCTCCAGATAGCTCGGGAGGATCGACTGCGCGAGCTTCGTGTCCACCTCCAGCGTGTAAGATCGCCGCGTGCCCCAGCGCCGCGACTCGCTGTTCTCGATCACGCGTCGCGTCCACCAGAAGGAGACGCCGCGAAATCTCTCCCGGACGCTCTCGCCACTCGCGAGCGCGAAGCTGGGCTTGGCGGAGTTCTTGACGCGGACGAGATCGAGGCGGCGGGTGGAGGCTGTCCGGGCGGAGGCGGAGGTCAGCTCCGCGACGTGGAGGTGGACGAGATCATACATCTCGTTAAGCGAGGAGCCGGCCCACTCGTGGACGTCAATGCGGGTCTTGCTCGTCCAGAAGAGGAAGTAGAGGCGCGGGAGAAAGGAGATGGCGGCCTCGCGGAGGAAATCGCGTACCTCGCGTGGAAGGATGCCGCGGAGAAAGGCGACGAGGCCGATGAGCGAGCCGATGTAAGCGACGATGCTATCCCCGGATCCCCATACTCCTCCGCCCATCATCGCTAGTGATCGATCACTCCAGGTGGGAATCCATGGATCGCTTGCTCTCGCGGCGGCGATCGATCACTCACCCATGGGGCTTTTCATATATATTCCCGGTTTGTTACTTACGGGCCAAGTAAACGGATTTTCGTTGGCCGTCAACGTCAAAGCCTTTGACGGTCAAACGTGTGTCACGCGCAAGTTCCGTGCAATTCGTGGATGGTTCTAGCAAAATACTTACAACTTGGTTATTGATCTTTCGACTCACCATGAAGCACATATACTGAGAAAAAAAAAATGTGCTAGCAATGCCAAGAACAAGGAATTAAGTGCGAGCAAGACAACACTTTCCGCGGGAAGAAC